AATATATTTATTTGTAATAAACACGGGGAAGAAACTTAAAACTACACACCAAAATATTTTGTTGGGATTGCTATAGTATGTTTTTTTCTTTCCCAAACTTTAGTTTTTAATTGTGCCATTTTTAACTTCTTCCACATCGTATTTTCCAAATTTTCTACATAAATGTGTCTTTTATATGACTAGTGTCTTCTGATTATAGTTAGTTGACATTTCTGTGCTTCTGAAGAAATCCTCTGGCTCAGGAATTCCCTATGGAAACAAGCTGATAGGTAGCTTTCTGCTGTGTCCTGCTGACCTCATACTCTGTCCTGCAGTTGTTACCTCTTACCGGTGAAACTGTCCTTGCTACCCCTTGTCTCCTGACTGTATACTCCTGTGAAATTGCCCTTCTTGCCCCTTGTCTCCGACTGAACACACCTGTGAAATTGTCTTGTTCGCTTCTGTCCCCTCCTGCTCACTTGTATTTGCTCTTTCATATATAGAATGTCCCAATCCTCGTGGTCAAGGTTTAGAAATACATGAAGATCTGCTTACTGTCCAGGCTCCCTTCCTGCAGCCTTGGGAATGACCTCACCAGGATGCCTTGCCCAGGACTGGGAAGTGTGGGCTGACATCCTCCTTCAGTACATTTTGTATCCTGGTCATTGTGTTCTTGACCCTTGGTCAGCTTCCTAGCTCAATAAGGAGGAAGTTTCATGTGCATTCCAAACTAGGGCTTGCTAGGGTATTTTGATGTGGGTCCTTTTGGTTGGTTGCTTGTTTTTTGTTTGTTTTCCTGTGTGTGTGTGTGTGTGTGTGTGTGTGTGTGTGTGTGTGTGTGTGTGTGTGTGTGTGTGTGTACCTACCTCTCTCTATCTCTCTCTGCCTCCCTCCTCAGATGCAAAGATTAAAAGCATGTAGTACCATTCCCAGCAATAATAGTTGTATTTTGCCTTAAGTAAAAGATTGACTCTTCTACTTTGTGTGGTGCTAATCTCAAATTTATTCTATGAAAAAGTGCCCAGAACTTTTTATTAGGTTATTTAAAGCCTGAACTATGCTATCCTCAGAGAAACAAAACTTTAATTTTGAGCTAGATTTGTTGTTGCTTCTGTTTTGTTTTGTTTTGTTTTGTTTTGTTTTTGAGACAGGGTCTTTCTCTGTAGCCCCAGCTGTCCTAAAACCTGCTATGTAGACCAGGCTGACTTCGAACTCACAAGAATAGAGTGCTGGGATTAAAAGTATGCACCAACACTGTTGGCTTGTTTTGGGTTGGTTGGTTGGTTGGTTGGTTGGTTGGTTGGTTGGTTGGTTGGTTGGTTGGTTGGTTAGTTAGTTTTGTTTGTTTGAAACAGGTTCTCAGTATTTAACACTGGCTAGCCTAGAACTCACTATGTAGACTAGGCTAGCTTCCAACTCAGATATACCTGCTTTTGTCATATTTTCATAATCTGCATTAGTTATATTATCTCCACAGTCAGAAGGTCTGCTTCTCTAACAAAGCAAAACAACAAACACTGCAATTCAGTGCTGAGTCAAAGTGGCCTGGCCTTCATTCTGCTCCAGTGGAACTCCGTTTTACCTGGGTTCCATAGTAACCAGTGCTGATACTGCTCCTGTAAACCATCCCCATTTCAGGCTAGTGCCCTCACTCCCCCACTATCCTCCTCATATCACTCTGCGTAGGCTGCTTTTATATTTCTAAGGAAGATTGCTGAAGTGGGGTGGGAGAGGGGTGGTGTCCTGAGACCTCTCTAGTCCCAGTATCCTGTAGTGGTTAGCACTTGTCATTAAAAGCTCTTTCAAAGTAAATGTCTACCTATGAAAGAAGTTAGCTGAAGTTGTATTATTACAAGAGGGAGTAGGGCAGGTACAAGAAAGAGCACACATACCCTTTGGTGTGCACAGGGAGGTCAAGAGGACAGCTTACAAGAATTTGTTCTCTCCTTCCACCATGCCAGTAACAGGGTTAAACCTCAGGTCATCAAGCTTGGGTGGGGGGGCTAAGCACCTTTTCCTACTGAGCCATCTTGCAGGCCCTGAAACCTTGTTTAGAGTTTTAACAAATACCAAAGAATAACTGGTCCATATTGGGCTTTTCCATAAAGTCATTCTGTGATATTGTCTCTAGAAATGTCCCTTCATCAAGATCTGGAGGGTAACCAAGAGCAATGGCAATAGTCTATAATGTTTAGGGGACTGTGGGACCCCACTGGCAAACAACTCAAAGCGGGGTTTTATTTGCTATTGTGAGGGGCCTAGTTGTCTATGTTGTTGAAGTATCATCTTCCCCTACCCGCTGTTATTTGATGACTCCATTTACACTCTTTTATATGTGTATTCTAAAGTAGTATTAGGTTTCCATGTAATTTCTTCAAGAGACCTTTATTGTTAGTTACCCCTCTTTAGGCACCTTCCCCCCCTCCCCCGTGCCTTTTACCCTACTTTTTCCACTCCTACCTCATTTAATCCTTCTTGCCCTATCATTTTCTGTTTTCTCTCATACCACCTGTGTTCTGTTTCCCCTCTCTTAAAGTGTCCACCCCCATGACCCTTTATTACTTTCCTGGCCTCCATGGGGCACTCTAATTTAAACACACACACATGTTCAAAAATTTAACTAGAATTCACATGTTAGAGTATTCAGCATTCATCTTTTTGGGTCTAGGTTACTCTTCCAGAATGATTCCAGATGTATCTATTTACCTTAAATTTTTAATTTTCTTCTTAATAGAAAAACATTATGAATGACAGTGCACTGTAAAAAATTATTTATTGGGTGATGACATGTAGAGTGTTTCCATTTCCTGGCTGTTGTGAATAAAGCTTCAGAGAACATGTATGATCAGACATCTATATAGTACTTATAGAGTCCTTTTGTGTGTGTGTGTGTGTGTGTGTGTGTGTGTGTGTGTGTGTGTGTGTGTGTGTGTGTGTAATTGCAAGTAAATTTTAATTGCATTTCCGTAGTGGTTAAAGGTATTGAACATTGAAAAAATATTTCTCGACATTTTGTATTTCATCTTTTGAGAATTCTAATTAGTTCTAAACACCGCTGTTTAATTGAGTTCCTTTCTTGACATTTAGGTATTTTGAGTTCTTTGCATATTCTAGAAATTAATTCACTGTCAGATGTGTAGCTGGTATTTTTTTCCCCATTCCATAGGCTGAATTTCCTCTTGCATTATAGTGTACTTCGTAGTACAGGAGTTTTTTAGCTTCATGAGATCCCATTTATCAGTTGTTGGTCCTGAAGCTGTATTACCAGAGTACTGTTAGAGTATTTTTTTTCTAGTCCTGTAAGTTGAAGCATATCCTTTATTTTCTCCTTTCACAGATTCAGGGTATCAGATCTTATGTTCAAGTCCATATTGTTTGAAGTTGAATTATGTGCAGTGTGTGAGATAAGAATCTAATTTCATTCTGCAGATACCTAAACGATTCAAACAGCACCATTTTTTGAAGATGCTGCTTTTCTCCAGTGTCTAGTTTTGGACAAAATCAGGTGGCTGTATAGGTATGGGCTTCTGTATGGGGGTCCAGTTCTAGTCTATTGATTGATGTGTCTTTTTTTATTCCAGTACTATGCTGGTTTTATTACTATAGTTCTGTAATGTAACTTAAAATCTGGGATGGTGATGCTTCTAGCAGTGTTTTCATAGTTCAGGGTCCTTTGGGATATTTTGAGTCTTTTGTGTTTCCATATTAATTTTAAGGTTCTTTTTTCAATTTCTGTGAAGAATTGCATTGAGTTTGTTTTGTTTGAGGCAAGGTTTCACAATATAGCTCTGGCTGGCCTCTAACTCATGAGATAAATAACACCTGCCACTAACTCTGGGGTGGGTTGATTAAAGGCATGTGCCACCATGCCTGACCCTTCGTTGAAATTTTGGTGGGGATTGTATTGGATGGTTTTCTCTCTCTCGATCCATGAACATGGCAGGTCTTTCTGTCTTCTGTTCTCTTCAGTTTCTTTCTTTACAGTTTTCATTCACAGGTGTTTAAGAACAAAGTCTCTTTACTTACTAGGCCAAGGTTCTGGCTCAGCTACATGTGAGGCACCAAAGATAGATTTCTAGGAAAATGTGAGTGTTTCCTTGTGAATCTCGAGCTGTAAGTGAAGAGTGGAAAACTTCAAGGCTTTCCAACTTACTAGTTGGAGGGCTTTGGAGTACAGACTACAGGGGAAATGGCTTGCTTAGAGGACAAGCTGAATTTACACTACCTTAAGTTAGTGCATTCTCCTTGCATAATGCTGCCCTTCATATCCTCTACAAGGACTGAGTTGATGGACTAATGTGTGCCCAGAGGAACTAGTCGTTAGAAAAGACAACACAAGATTTGGTGACAGTTTATCACCAGTTTCTCTGTGTCTTCTGGCAGCCTTATGGTTTCTGAGGCTGAAGAAGCATGCCTGTTCTAACAACAACTGAGGTTAAAGCTATACAGTGCAGGCCAGAATGTGCTGACGACAAGGCTGGACACAACAGCATTTACTATGGGGAGGTTCATCTGACTCCCTGAGCATGGAAGCTACTTGGAACATTCTAAACAAGCTCAATCCTGTTCCCAGTACCTCCAGCAGGCATCTTCCACAGCAGAACATTTTTGTTCCCCATCAGTTGGATTCCTGTTAGGGATGTCATGTGGTTACTAATAATTCATCATATAATGTGGATCCATAAAGATCCATTGGGGTTAGAAGTAAATAATTCTCTTAGTTACCTTAAACTATTGGATGCATTTAATTTTCATGAGATTTACTAATACTTCATTCAGATAATGAAATCTCTGACTTCCAATAACTTCAGCTACAGTTATTATGGTATTGTTTAAGTACCTCTGTATTGACCTCTGTCAGTCAAGTTTAGATCTGCATTTTTGTAGCTTCTTTGCACTTAAATTTGGTAAATGTGTAACTGGGGACCTTGGTTGATAGAACAATAGGACCATTCTTCAGCATCCTGCAGGGGTTAATATGCAAGCATGTAACATTTTTGTTCCATCTTTTGTCTTCACAGTGAGAGAAAAACGCAAGAGTCTCTTCATTAACCATGTAAGTGAAACTGCTTCCCCCTGTTTTTCCTAACGATTATACAGTATAGACTTTGGTAGGTGAAAATGCCCTATGTGTTGTTTGGTGCTTAGAAGCCTGTGACGGGTTGATGGAAAGCTGATTTGCCAGGCATTACTTGGGATTCACTCCCACCACCATGTCTCCAGATTCTTTAAGGCTGCTGTGGAAGGGAGTATTCCTGTGGACAAGACCACAGTGCTACCACACATTACACAGGCTCAAACAAAGCAAAGGTTTTTAATTTTGAACTTTTCATCTCTGCTCACACCAAATTCCTGTTTTGTAGCTTTTTTTTTATTTGTATAGTGTAGTTCCCTTCAAATAAATACATAATTGTTTTTCAAGAGCATAATTGTTTTTCTGCTTCCTCTCTGTCTTCTACACAATTGTTGTTTGTGAAACAGGGCTGCACATTTTTGTCTGTGTGCTCAAAAACAGTTTCTATGTGTGGAGAGACTAAACTTGGCCCTTTAATTTTAAAAGTATTTTCAAAATTTCCCTCTAGTGAGTACCTTGGCCATTCTGAGCAGTGTATCTCTCAGTGGGAAGTGCACAGGATGATAACAGGTACACCTACCATCTCCAGTCTTTCTCCACTACTCCCTGGCAATCTGTAACAGACCAGATATAACCACACCTCTTGTTTAAACATGTGTCTTGTTCTTTAAGAAAGAAAACTGCTACTACAAGGTAAGGAGTGATAGAGTTCTGTGAATTGCCAGAGTAAGCATGCTCTACACTCTCACTGAAAAGTGCAGTGATGAATCTGACCCAGCAGAAACTGGCTCAGGATTGTTATTCGGGATTTCTGAACTTGTAGATTCTGACATGCGTAAGGATAAAGCTGTGTGTAAGAATCTTAAGGCCATGAGAAGACACACGCTGGACCCATAGTGAAGTGGTGACTCTTCTGCAGCCGTGCTGTCTAATGTGTGCACTCCACAGAGGGCCTCTACTTCCTGTCAGGGTTATTTTTCACTTAGTTGGTTTTTCAGAATATGCTTGTGTTATGTGAGGGCATGTGAGCTGTCTCATCAGCCCTCTGTCTTCTAAAGCACTTCCCTGGCCCTCTAGATTCGTTTTCTTGTTGTTTATATTTTTTTATTTTTCTTTTAACTGACACAATAGTTTCTTTACCGTTGAAGTCTATAAGATAGTTACTAGACAGCCAGTTTTACACATCAGCAGTGGTATTGATAGTATGAATTACATCACAGATAACAACATGAAGCTGGCATAAAATAAAGCTGAGGTAGAAAGAGAAGCACTTTTTCTTTTTATTCATTAAGGCTGGATTAAATTTTGTTAAAGAAATGTGTTTTCAGGAGAACTGCAAGGCCTTTGCATTGAAGAGTGAATTTCACCATTTTTGTATCTCTTGTAGGGAAAACTAAGACTAATTCCCCCATACTCTTAACACACTGTAATTTCACTCTTGGGACTTTAAATGAGTCTCCTTGTCAACAAACCTCAACATACCCAAAGCAAAGGAAACCTAGAAAAGAGAATAAAATGAGAAAAAGAGAACCTAAACAGTAGGATATACTTAGAGTCCTACCAGGTACCACTTCCTTGGCTCTATAGGTTTGTAGCATAGAGTTGTAAAACATTTCTGGGATCACAGTGTATGGCATGAGACGCAGTGATGAAAATGGCTGAGATAGTGCCTGTGAGGAAGGGTATATTCCTGAATAAAAAAGGGTGAGTGATTGAAGCTATGCCCTCTTTTCTAGTTATTTACTTGTGGGTATACATGACTGCTTTCCCCCACGTTAGCACTTAGGTGCTAAAGAGCTCATAAGGGAAAAGCTGAAATTTCAACCAGACCCCTAAGCAGCCAATTTTAGGGCATGTCAGGAAAGAAGTTTGATTAACCAGGCTACTCTTAATAATGGCTAATGGGACAGGTGTGTTCTCATAGCTCCAATCTCCATATTTGTTTTCATATGCTCTCCACTGTGAACTTACTTGTATCCTGTGCACTCTTGGCATTTGTCTCCTGCTGAATCAATAGCCATGGGCCAGTATGTGCATATGGATTTTAGGGTGTGTGCCCCAACTCATGCTTTCCTGTGTGATTTGCCATGCTGTTGTACAGTAAAGTCAAACAGATGTTGAACTCTCATATATATTCTTGTTCCTGAATAAGGATGGCTGTGTGCTGAGTTTCTTTGTAGCAGACAACCCTGAAACGTGTGATCTTCTACCCTGTTCATAGACTTGCCTACAAATGAGCACATGAGTTCTGCTTCCTTAGGGAAAAGCTGAGTGCTGTTTAGCCATATAGAGAGTCTAGCTGCATAAAATGAGACTATCTGCAAACTGGATTAGGTCTGTACACCATTTTGTAGTTGTCTTAGGGTTTCTGTTCGTGGCTTCGTGACACCACGACCACAGGAACTCAAGGAAAACACTTAATTGGTACTGGCTTAACACAGGCTTAACGTTCAGAGATTTAGTCCATTATTTTCATGGTGAGAAACATGCAGGCAGACATGTACTTGAGAGGTAGCTCAGAGTTCTACATCTGGGTCCACAGACAGGAGGAAAAGACAGTGAGCCACTAGCCTGGTTTGAGCATCTGAAACCTCAAAGCCTGCCTAGAGTGACAAGCTTCCTCCAACAAGACCACACCTTCTAATAGTACCTCTCATTATGGAGGACATTGTCTTTCAAACCACCACATTGACTTCACAGCTTGTAACCTAAAAGTTAAGAAAAGTAGAAGGGGAGCTGGAGAAATGCCTCAGACCTTGAGAATACTTGCTGTTCTTTCAGAAGACCCAGGTTCAATTCCTGGCACCCATGTAGGAGGCTTACAACCCCTGTAGCTCTAGGGGATTTGACACCCCTTTTCTAGCCTCTTTGGGGACATACATATACATACACACAGGTACACGAAAAATAATAAGTGATCTTAAAAAAGAAAGAAGAGCAGTAGGAAGAGGGTGGGAAACACACTAACTGTTGGAATCTCTACCAAGTGTGGACTTAACAACTGACTTGGACAGTCTCCATCCCAGCTCAGCACTCAGTTACACACTTCTACTGATGAAAAACAGAGGCATAAAGAAACAAGTAGGCTAGAAACAAGTAAGCAGAGCCAAGGTTGGAACTTGTCTGTGAGTGACATTTATGCTTTTACAGGCCATTATAGGACTCAGTTTGAAATATGGATCCTAAGTAGAAATTTCAATTTGATCTTGAATTTTAGAACAACTGGTATCTTTTGTCCCTTTTTATATAACGTTATTGTTGTTTGGTTTCTCCTTTTGAGTTTCTGAAGAACCTGTGTGGTGTAATTTGCTCAGGTAATCTACAAGGAGGATGCTGCTACTCCAGAAACATGAAAGTGGTGCTATAGATGAGCCAGTGAAGACAAATGGACACGGGTCCCTCTGCTCCTAGCTAACTAATAGCAACTGTTGATGCATTGGTCCCTGTTCTCATTGCTGTGATCAAATACTTGACACATACAGCCTAAGGGGAAAAGGATGATCTTGTTTGACAGTGTGAGCATGTAGTCCATCAGGTGGGAAAGGCATGGCAGCAGGAGCTTGAGGGAGCTGATTACATTGTATGTGCTGTTAGGAAGCAGAAAGATGTGACTTGGTGCTCAGCTAACTTTTTATTTCTGTAGCCTGGCCTTTAGCCCATGCACTAATGCCACCCACAGTGAAAATACACCTTCACACCCCAATCTTGAAAACCTCACAGACATGCGCAGAAGTTTGTTTCCTAGGAGATCTTAGGTCCTATCAAGTTGACAGTCTGTTATCCACTATAGCAGAGAATGTGACCTTCTCCAGATGGAGCCATAGGCTGGAGAAGGACCAAGGAGGAATTAAAAGATTAAGAGATTTACTGCATGGGAATAGAATAGTCTGAGGGCCCCAACAGCAAGGAAACCAACCACATGACTTACAAAGATTAATATCCTAATCAGTACCTTTGTTCTAGATGTAATTAGAATGATAAATTAGGGAAAATTTTATAGCCTTGTGTAAAGATCTTTATTTAAAATGTCTTTTTTTTATAAATTTGCTGAAGTTTTGGTTTTGCTTTTCTTTGAAGTCAACTATTTCAGTACTTTTTAAAAACTAGAATGTGAAAATCTCTGATAAAAATTACAATGTTGTAGATAATTGCAGTTGGGAATCTTCCCAAAATACAATAAAACTCATACCATTTGTGTTCGCCTCATTTTTCTGATATCCTTCTGCCTCCTAGCAACAGCATATGTAATGGGAATTAATCTAAGACATTTAATGAAGTTTGGAGGAGGTGGAAAGATGACGTTCCAAGATGGGTCAGGGAGTGGGATGGACGTCCTTTCTCCTTTTCCATGTCCTTTTTAGTGCATATGTTTGGTTTGGCTTGTTTTTTGAGATAGGGTTTCTCTGTGTAGTTTTGGAGCCTGTCCTAGAACTTACTCTATAGACCAGGCTGGCCTCCAATTCACAGCTATTCTCCTGCCTCTGCCTCCTGAGTGTTGTGGTTTAATATGTGTGCTACAAATGTATTTTAAAAAGCAGGAGGCTAAACAGGAGTTATAGTGCAAAATCTTCAGAGGATGTGCTTCAACATTAAGATAGATGATTGTTCTGAAAACTTATAATAATGTTAAGTTGAAATCATGTGTCAATTAAGCAAGAGCCAAAAGAAGCTTGAAGCCTTAGTTCTAGAAGTCTTGAAAAGTGTTTTGAAGTACTAGTCTTTGTCTTCTCAAATGAATCATGATGGTTGTCCTGTTTGACTCTGGGAAGCAGTAAGAGGAAGTTGATCTGCAAACTGATTACAGCACATGTAGATAGGCTAGTATGGCTCACAGAATATTAGGTAAATGTACATCTTTCCAGGTTCTATATTAGTAAATGATGATGGTTTTTCTACTATTTGAATATAATTTAGGGTATTTTGTTATGTAATTAACACCCAATTTTGAGTGTTTCTGAAGAGTTCAGCATTATAAGGACTAC